AACCTTCGAAAACAATAAATTACAACTTGATATTACAACAAAAAGTCAACATTCATTAATTTCATTGCTTAGTGGACAACGTCCTTCACATCCAATATTGAACTTAAAATAATAACAAAAATAAATAGCTTTTCTTTTTTTTTTTTCATTTGTAGTTTTAGTTCTTATAATACATCATTGTTTTACTTCTCTCTATTCTAGATGCACGGAAATAATTTATATAAAGTCAATCATCGTTATAATCAAAATAATACACCAATAATAACTACAAATGATCGACCATCGGTAAAATCTTATCGTGAACAAATTGAAACAATGTTAACACGATGGCGTCAATTACAAAAAGAAAAACATCCTCAATGTCAACCGATTAATTTCGATGAAATTATGGAAACTGATCTAGCACGACAACTTCAACAATTAGAACAAGAAGAAGAAAAACAATATAATCTATTGGAACAAGCACTTGATGATGATACAATTTTACAACAATTAAAAGAATATCGACAAGTGAATGTTTTTTTTTTGTTATTCATAAATACATATCTATGTCGATTTATTTTTAGAAAACAAATTCTATGAATTATGATATAAAGGAAGAATATGTTCATATTCATCAAGAGAAACAAAGTAAGAACGATAATAGATATATATATTTCTTTTTTTTTTCGTTTTTGTCTTTCTTAGCATTACAAATACAATTAACAATTATAAAAGAAAATCAAATGAAAATAAGCAAAATTGAACATCTACTTGAATCATGTACAAAGATGAAAAAGATATTTATTACACAGAAATCGACAACAAAATAACTTATTGCCATTTTCATGCCATAATACACCTAGCTATTAGATTTTAGTTCTTTTTATTCAATTCATATCTATCAAATTTTTGTTTTTTTGTGTTTCCTTGTTTTAGATTTCTTTTCAAAAGCTCACAATCGATTAATCATGATCAATGTATTCAAGCAAGCAAAACTTGTTAAAATGTTTTATGGTGAAGTTGGTCCAACATTTATTGAAATACCTATTAGTAAAAATGAAACAACAACAGTATGGGTTTCAGATGGCGTAACTATGGATTATATCAAACGTCGTATTAATGAAATTAGTGGTGACTATTATGTTGATCTAACATCAGCAATACGAATAACTACTACTACTGAACCATCGTCATCATCATCATCACAATTAAACATCGTTCAAAATGAATGTAATTCATATCCAACAACAAATCTTCTTATAGGTTTTGCCATTGGTATAGCTTTAATTATATTGCTATTATTGGTTAATCTTATTGTTATGCTATCTAAGAAACGATCAAAATATCACAATAGAATGGAAAATATTTCAGGTGAATCATTACGATTCCATGAAATGTTTTCTGATTTAAATCATCAAAGACCACAATCACAACAACAATAACATCCGTATATAAAGACATTAATTTCATTTTGTTTTTCTTTGTTTATCTACTATTACTCTCTATAGATATCTTAATTCAATTCATTGTAGTTTAACAAAATAATTCGAACAAATTCATTTTTTTTTCTCTTTCAACTATTCTAGATAAATATTCTCAACAAACATTTCATCCTTATTCGTGTCCATTATCTACTGATTCAATAGATCTGACCATGAGTTATCAAAATATTCCAACACCTTTAAAAACAACAACATCCATCGACAGCGACGACATCGATGAATATCTNAACAAACATTTCATTCTTATTCGTGTCCATTATCTACTGATTCAATAGATCTGACCATGAGTTATCAAAATATTCCAACACCTTTAAAAACAACAACATCCATCGACAGCGACGACATCGATGAATATCTTCTCAAGATTTATGAACATGTCACTAAAATAATGCCAATATCATTCGTTTTTATTCTATTCGTATGTGTTCTTCTTGGCTGGATCATATATTCACTCTGTTATTTCATCGAAAACAATATCGAAAAATCTGAAATTTTAGACGCTCCTGCTTATATTCAATTTATTAACAAAATTGAAAATTCAAAGAAACATAAACTTTCATTAAAAAAGATCTATCCAAAGGAAACACTCTTCATATTATGAATATAATAATAAAAAATAATTTGTGTATAACAATGTTCTTTTTTTTCNCAAAATTGAAAATTCAAAGAAACATAAACTTTCATTAAAAAAGATCTATCCAAAGGAAACACTCTTCATATTATGAATATAATAATAAAAAATAATTTGTGTATAACAATGTTCTTTTTTTTTCTATTCTAGACATCGAATTACATATATAATTGTTTCTTATGTTCTAGATAGACTGAATATTTCAACGATGTCTTGGGACCGATCACACCCTTCTCATGACGAGTCGCGTTACAACGAGCGAATTATACCATCACCATGGCCTATGACTGATAAGACACACGAATGTATAACACGTCGTGAGGCAATATTACTGGTTGATAATGGAAAAATCCAACTGTTATTATGTTTGGGTATACCAATAATAACATGTTTATTTTTGCTGGTGCTAATTACTCACAGGATATGGTCAAAATATTGTTGGAAAAAAGATGAAAAACAAACTGAAAATTTACAACATGATTCCAAGGATTTAACAGAAGTTATTACACATCAAGATGAACCAGAAGATTTATCAGCCATGACCAATCCCAAGATGAAACTTCTTGTTACAATATAATCCTTTTTTTTAAAGAAGATTCAAATAAGAATATCATACAAGTAAACTATTCACCATACTAGTTCAAATTTTATAATTATCTTTCTCTATTATCTTTAGATGATCTCATCTACAACAACTAATATATTTACAAACTCTTTTTGTTTTGTTTTGTTTTGTTTTGCTTTACTTTACTAACCCTAGTTTCCTCTTTTTCTTCTAGATCACCTTAATAAAGTTACTATCGATGTCGATAAATCCATTTAACCTAACAAGAAATTTTAAATTGTACTTTAGTGCATTTAGTCCCGTATTTATTGAAATACCCATCAGGAACAATGCAACAGAAACAACATGGGTCTCTGATGGTATCACTATGAGTTATTTAAAAGATCGTATTAATGAAATTGGTGCTGATTATTTTGGTGAATTAACAACAACAACAACAACTACTACAACATCAGCAACATCATTAAATAAAATTGAAAATAATTGTTATTCATATCCATCAACAAATCTTCTTATAGGTTTTATCATTGGAATAGCTTTAATTATATTGCTTTCATCAATTAATCTTGTTGTTATGATATCAGAAAAACGATCGAAATATCGTACGAAAATGGAAAAAAATTCAGGTGAATCATTACGATTCCATGAAATGTTTCCTGATTTAAATCATCCAAGACAACAGCGTCAACAGCAACAAAAATAAAAGAAGAAAAGGCATCTATATCTGTTTTAAATGCTTTTCAAAGACATATATTTCATTTAGATATATAGATTTAGTTGTATCTTGTTATTTGTCTTTTTTTTTATATTCTAGATTTCATATAAATATTTTCAAATCTTGACTTCATCTTCAACTATTCGAAAATCAACAACATTAGAAGATCAAGTTGAACATATCATTATGGATGAAGATTTCTAATTTTTTGTTTTTGTTTTGTACATTAAAAGATAGTAGCTAATTTCTTTAAAAATAATACATATACATATCCTCAAGATTATTATTTGTTCTAGATACTAATTTTTGTCATATTCGAAAAGAAATAATATTATGAATTTAAATACAACTGAACCAACAACAACGACATCAAACAATGAACAACAAGATTATCAAGCAACAACGTTAAATTCAGATAATTTGACACGTTATTTTTATTTACCAATATTTCCACCAGCAACATCAATGATAAAATTGGGTGCCAATGATGATTTATTATTAGCTAATGTACCAAGTTCGTATTATTTATTCAATTTTGTATTTATTTTATTGATTTAAATATATATTATAGATAGTCATCTTGCACAAAATCAACTATTACAACGTCAACAAGCTACACAGATATCAGATAGTTCGATATTGAACAATATCGATGATAGTCGAGAACCATTTTGTTTATCTGCAATAGATATTAAAGAATTATCGACAAGATTACAAGTTGATGAATCAATTATTATATCCAATGCTAATCGATTACGTGTCATTTGTCATCGACTTCTTGAATTGCATGAATATTTTAGAAGAAGAGTACTTGCAATACAAGATGTTGCTTTAAACGAACCAACTCTCAATTCAAAACAAATGTCTTTAATATTAGAATTTTTCTTACAAATCGATGGTAAATATCAATTTTTTATTGTTATCGTAGATTTTTTTTCCTTACGTTTTATAGTCGATGTATTCTATATGAAAACATGTCGATTTCGTGATGCTGAACCATGTCCATCAATAAAAGGTCTTTTCTGTAATGATGAATCACCAAAAGCAAGATATAGTATGGTTCCATGTGGTACAACTAATTGTCCATGTTGTCATTCCATAGAAAATAGTTCAAATCATGGTTTTGTCAATGGTTATACAACTTATTTGAATTGTCCAGCAGTATGTCGATGAAATTTTTACAGAATAATGAACGATCATTTTTTTTTCATTGTAGACATGTACAACATCGAATATTGTTTTTGTTATGACATGTCCATGTGGTCAATATGAATTTATTGATTCAACATCGGGTTCATTGGCTGATGCTTTAACTCGTAGGTAAATTAAATATAGTCATTCATTTTATTTTTTGTATATACATGTAGATCATCGATTGGCATGTAATCAAATGATGCATAGTTTCTTAACTGGTACGCCAGTTTATGAAGAAATAATGACACCAATGGAACGTTGTCGGTATGTGAATTCTCTTTTTTTTTGTGTGTATTTATTTCAATTATCCATTTTAGACATCTTATTGTAAGAAAAATGCGTCTTTATCAACATTCAGCTCATTGTTCAGTGGCAGTTCAATTATTTCTTGAACATAATCCAGCATATTGGTGTTTTATTCCAAGACCAAGAAAAGAAGTTGAACAAGAAAATGATTTCTATGCAAGAATTGTTCTTGCTACTGGATCCGAATTTGTCTATGTGCTTCCAAAACGGACAAATCAAGAAAAAAAAGTAGCTAGACTTTTAACTGGTATATCATTTCCACCAGCCGAACGTCATTTCTCATCTGCACAAATACAAAAACAACGATTATTTTTCGATCGTCATCTATTGAGTCCTGTTGATCAATTACCTTATGTAGAAACTGATCTATATAAAATGAAAATCATTGCTGTTTGTAAGTGAATTATATGATATTGATTTATTTTTTTGGATTTACTTTTTTTTTCTATAGTACCTACTGACGAATCAATTATATTACGATATCTTATTGAAACATTATTTATTATTCATGGTGAAACAAAATTAAATATGATATGTCCCATTGGTATTGATCCTGAACAACGTTATGGTCGACCTTATGATCATCAATGGTATTATCATATAAAACATCCAGAACTACCAACGGCACCATCTATTCTTTCATTAATTCAAACAATAAAAGAACTTAATGCACGTCCATCCAACGATCCTGATCCTGATGATGATGATGACGATGATGATGATGATGATGATGATGATGATAATTAAAAAAAATTGACTTATGCTTCATTGAGATAGAATTCTTCTCTGTCTTTTTTTACTTTAGTTTTAGCTTTCGATAATCACCATTTAGATTTTTCCTTCTTAGTTGTTACTGTTTTTTTTTCATATTTATTTAAATGAACAATTTTTCTGTTTTAGATAATTCATTTCTGATTCAAATATTCATCATCAGCATTGTAATTTGCTCATTCAATAACAAAAAATGACTGAATTAATGACAACAACAATGAATGATGGTATGCTCATCGATAAAACGATTCAAGATCATCTTGAAAAAATTCCAATTTATCTAACAAAAGAAAATAAAACATTTCAATCCATCATTGATCAAGCATTAGGTATGATGAATATATCATCAATAGCCGAAGATAATATACGTGATAATTTACAACATACAAGTATTCTTATCTACAAAATGCAAATTCTATCAATGTATCATTTATTATGGACATCATATTGGCAATCAGGTCTTGGTCAATTGATTAAACAAACACCGGAACAACAACAACAGCAACAAAATTATGTAGTCTATTCAATGAATATTAGTTTTTGGCCTAAAGAAATTAAACAAAATATAGATACTTCTACAAGTTCAATGGATTTAGTTTGTTATCATAGACAAGAACTTGAAAGACAATTAAGACAGATACAAATTGAATGGAATAACAAAGTCAATCATTTTCTGGTTATAATTTAAAAGTTGAACAATTATTAAAAGATTATATTATTCAACATTTATATGAATTTCAAAAGGAAATAGAACATAAAATCAATCTTGTTACATATGATTATCAAATAGAAGCTATCAAACAAGAATTTAATCGTCAAAATTCAACTGAATATCAAGTATGTGTGTATTATTTGAATGAATAATATATTTTAATAGGATTGCTATCGTTTAGAAAAAACTCATGAAACAATTATGTCTAAAAAGAGACGAAAAAGAAACAACAGAACAAGAATTAAAATTCCTACAAGAACGTATCGATCATTTTAATGCACCGGATCAATCATTTGAACATTCAGCTATAATCGATTCTATTGAAAATATTGAAATACGACAACAATTACAACAACAATATCGAAAAATAATTCAACAAGCCAAAACTGATTTTTATATGTTAAGTTTACAAACAGCTGAAGAACAACGAACTAGAGCTAGATTAAACTATGAGAATCAAGTTAATAAAATGTATTCCATTCATCATAATGCACTTGATTTCACAATATTACCATTAAAAATGATCGATTTAATTCAAGAACGTTGTCGAATGATAGGTGAACGTATTCAATCGGTTTATAATTATAAGATTGAATGTTTTCGTTTGAAATTAAAAAAAGACTAAAAGATAATTATAGTGCTATTCATTCAATTTATTCATAGCTGATCTATTTGTTTTCGTTTTAGACAAACTTTTTCATATAGTTACGAAGAAAATAATGTTCAAGAACAATAAACTTGATGATTATCTTGGTATTTATCCAACTACTCGAGAATATCAACTTTGGATGTTGAATCCATATGATAAAAATGGTAAAGAAATACTATTTCAAGGAATTAGATATTGGTAATAAATTCTTGATTTTAGCTTTCAAAATTTTAATTATTTGTAATTTCTTTTAGTACCGATAATGACACATGTCAATGTAAAAGATGTAAGAAAAATCGAATGAATGAGTGGCCTTATGAACGATCATTGTCTGCAAATCTTTTATATTTAACTGGCCTACATATGAATGATATTAATTACAATGAAATCATCAAATTTGAAGAAACTCTAGTCTCCGATTATCTAAGACATATTGGTGAATTTTGGAAATATATTACCGAATTATGTTTATTAGCTGGTGAAAATGGAATTGAAATACTGGGCCAATTCAATAATGGATTATTTGACAAACCATTTGTATATCATCGTCGACTTCATAAACCTTGTCGGAATATTCCACATCCGAAAAGAAATAAAAAAATAATTAAATATTGTAAACAAAAATATAGAATATTACATGAAATTTTTGAAAATTGAACCCTTCTTATAACACTTTCAATAAATTCTTCAATAATTCGATCACTTTTCTATCCTCAACGACTATAACTTCAATAATAATAAATAATCCATTGTTCTTTTTGTTCTAGATTTAAATAATACACAACTTTAAACGAATCATATTCAAACAAAACCGA